TAGTAACCAAAGAATAACCAAAGAAGTGTTAAACAAATCAAAATATATTTTGTAGTTGAGATTCTTCAAATAGCCACCCTTTGCCTTGATGACAACTTTGCACACTCTTGGCATTCTCTCAACCAGCTTCACTTGGAATGCTTTTCCAACAGTCTTGAAGGAGTTCCCACATATGCTGAGCACTTGTTGGCTGCTTTTCCTTCACTGCAGTCCGACTCATCCCAAACCATCTCAATTTGGTTGAGGTTGGGGGATTGTGGAGGCCAGGTCATCTGATGCAGCACTCCATCACTCTCCTTCTTGGTCAAATAGCCCTTACACAGCCTGGATGTGTGTTGGGTCATTGTCCTGTTGAAAAACAAATGATAGTCCCACTAAGCCCAAACCTGATGGGATGGCGTATCGCTGCTGAATGCTGTGGTAGCCATGCCTTGAATTCTAAATAAATCACATACAGTGTCACCAGCAAAGCACCCCCACACCATAACACCTCCTCCTCCATGCTTTACGATGGGAAATACACATGCGGAGATCATCCGTTCACCCACACCGCGTCTCACAAAGACACGGCGGTTGGAACCAAAAATCTCCAATTTGGACTCCAAACCAACCAAAGGACACATTTCCACCGGTCTAATGTCCATTGCTTGTGTTTCTTGGACCAAGCAAGTCTCTTCTTATTATTGGTGTCCTTTAGTAGTGGTTTCTTTGCAGCAATTCGACCATGAAGGCCTGATTCACGCAGTCTCCTCTGAACAGTTCATGTTGGGATGTGTCTGTTACTTGAACTCTGTGAAGCATTTATTTGGGCTACAATTTCTGAGGCTGGTAACTTTTATGAACTTATCCTCTGCAGCAGAGGTAACTCTGGGTCTTCCATTCCTGTGGCGGTCCTCATGAGAGCCAGTTTCATCATAGCTCTTGATGGTTTTTGCAGCTGCACTTGAAGAAACTTTAAAAGTTCTTGACATTTTCCGTATTTACTGACCTTCATGTCTTAAAGTAATGATGGACTGTCATTTCTCTTTGCTTATTTGAGCTGTTCTTGCCATAATATGGACTTGGTCTTTTACCAAATAGGGCTATCTTCTGTATACCCCCCCTACCTTGTAACAACACAACTGATTGGTTCAAATGCATTAAGGAAAGAAATTCCACAAATTAACTTTTAAGAAGGCACACCTGTTAATTGAAATGCATTCCAGGTGACTACCTCATGAAGCTGGTTGAGAGAATGCCAAGAGTGTGCAAAGCTGTCATCAAGGCAAAGAGTGGCTATTTGAAGAATCTCAAATATAAAATATATTTTGATTTGTTTAACACTTTTTTGGTTACTACATGATTCCATATGTGTTATTTCATAGTTTTATGGAGGCAATGTAGTGTAGTGTATATAGGTTATAGGTTAAGAACTTTTGTGAAAGAGCAGTTTGAAAGATATGGCATATAGAAGCAAACCAGATGGACATCATGAAAATGTTCGGAGAGGTTGAGGGTAGAGGAAGTTCAGGAGTAAAAACAAACAAAATATAATTATTGTAAAATTGACTGTGTCCATAAAATGTATATAGTATATATAAGCTGGAATTCGAGGCCTAAGCGTTGTTGTTCACTAGTTTACTCCAATTAGGGAAGGGTGGTAGGGTTGGAAAGTAATATAAAGGAAAATATATTTATAAAAAGGATAAGTGTATATATATATGTATATGTTTTTATTTATATGTATGTATGTATATGCACCGTTCAAAAGTTTGGGGTCACTTAGAAATGTCCTTGTTTTCGAAAGAAAAGCAAATGTTTTGCCCATTAAAATAACATCAAATTGATCAGAAATACAATGTAGACTTTGTTAATGTTGTAAATGGCTATTGTAGCTGGAAACTGCTGATTTTTAATGGAATATCTACATAGGCGTACAGAGGCCCATTATCAGCAACCATCAGTCCTGTGTTCCAATGGCACGTTGTGTTTGCTAATCCAAGTTTATCCTTTTAAAAGGCTAATTGATCATTAGAAAACTATTTTGCAATTATGTTAGCATAGCTGAAAACGGTTGTGCTGATTAAAGAAGCAATAAAACTGGCCTTCTTGAGACTAGTTGAGTATCTGGAGCATCAGAAATTGTGGGTTCGATTACAGGATCAAAATGGCCAGAAACAAAGAACTTGCTTCTGAAACTCGTCAGTCTATTCTTGTTCTGAGAAATGAAGGCAATTCCATGCGAGAAATTGCCAAGAAACTGAAGATCTCGTACAACGCTGTGTACTTCTCCCGTCACAGAACAGCGCAAACTGGCTCTAACCAGAATATAAAGAGGAGTGGGAGGCCCCGGTGCACAACTGAGCAAGAGGACAAATACATTAGAGTGTCTAGTTTGAGAAACAGACGCCTCACAGGTCCTCAACTGGCAGCTTCATTAAATAGTACCCGCAAAACACCAGTCTCAACGGCAACAGTGAAGAGGAGACTCCGGGATGCTGACCTTCTAGGCAGAGTTGCAAAGAAAAAGCCATATCTCAGACTGGCCAATAAAAAGAAAAGATTAAGATGGGCAAAAGAACACAGACACTGGACAGAGGAAGATTGGAAAAAAGTGTTATGGACAGACAAATCGAAGTTTGAGGTGTTCGGATCACAAAGAAGTACATTTGTGAGATGCAGACCAAATGAAAAGATGCTGGAGGAGTGCTTGATGCCATCTGTCGAGCATGGTGGAGGCAATGTGATGGTCTGGGGGTGCTTTGGTGGTGGTAAAGTGGGAGATTTGTACAGGGTAAAAGGGATCTTGAAGAAGGAAGGCTATCACTCCATTTTGCAACGCCATGCCATACCCTGTGGATGGTGCTTGATTGGAGCCAATTTCCTCCTACAACAGGACAATGACCCAAAGCACAGCTCCAAACTATGCAAGAACTGTTTAGGGAAGAAGCAGTCAGCTGGTATTCTGTCTATAATGGAGTGGCCAGCACAGTCACCGGATCTCAACCCTATTGAGCTGTAGTGGGAGCAGCTTGACCGTATGGTACGTAAGAAGTGCCCATCAAGCCAATCCAACTTGTGGGAGGTGCTTCAGGAAGCATGGGGTGAAATCTCTTCAGATTACCTCAACAAATTGACAACTAGAATGCCAAAGGTCTGCAAGGCTGTAACGGAGGATTCTTTGACAAAAGCAAAGTTTGAAGGACACAATTATTATTTATATTAAAAATCATTATTTCTAACCTTGTCAATGACTAAATTTCCTATGCATTTTGCTATATTTCCTATTCAAACTCATTTAATGTATGTTTTCATGGAAAACAAGGACATTTCTAAGTGACCCCCAAACTTTTGAATGGTAGTGTATATATATATATATATATATATATATATATATATTTGCAAAAATATATATGGGGGATTGGAAGTGATGCAGACAATTACATTGATGGAAGTTACAATCTATCTGCAATATTAAAGCTGATCTACCCCCTCAAAAATGAATAACAAACAAAGTGATAAATACAAACGATCCCAGATTTAGAATCCTGATGCAGTTGTTCCACTCTGACACAGGAAGAGGCGATGGCAATAATGAGTGTGTTTTTGTATATTTGTATTTTGTCAATTTGGTGCATGTTAGGCTCCCTTGCTAAAGAGACTTTGGTCCCTGGACTCCCGGTGAAAAGAAAGTTAATATAAACCCAATAATGCCACATCACGACTGCAGCTCTTGTGTTTCAGACAGGATATGGCACATTAAGGTTATGTCTCAAATGGACCCTATTCCCTATATAGTGCACTACTTTTGACCAGAACCATAATGGGCCATAAGGTACCATTTGGGACACGATCTAAGTTGAAGGGAAAGGGAAGTCACAAAACACAGGAACATCCTGTGGTCAAGGCCTCTACTGACACTGGGTGGTGGAGGAAAGTACTGTCCTTGGAACCAGTTACAGCTTTTCCATGACGCTAAAAGAAACCAATTAAGTTCCCTCCGTGGCTGTCTCCCGTCTCAGCACAACATCTTGTGTGTTTTGAATTAACTGAAAGTAACAATGTAACTGAAAATAACTGGAATTCCATGTAAATTCTTAAGTAACTTTGGTGGTTTTAAACAGGAAGGCCTAGCTTCCTGTCTCTGACCATAGCTGTTTCCATTAAGCAACAACGTCTCAGCAACAGGAAAGGAAGGAGTTTTTTACGATTCCGAGGCAGTTTGGAGCTCTCCGACATAAACATCTCTTCAGTTTAAGATGATTCTCCTTTTACCAAAACCACTAAACTCCATTAAAAATGCAATACGAAGCAATTACTAAAGCACAACGTAACAACGTTGTAACTACAACGTTAGACCTACTATACCGGTACTGTGTAAGATCAGATTAATATCAAATGTGTTACCAAACGTTAAAAAAAAAAACTTTTGGGACTAAAATACTAACATCCAAGAAACAAATATTGAGCTCATATACAAACATATTATTACTCCATATAACATATATTATTAAAGAATCATTACAAAGCAACGTGGGCATGAGAGAAAACATTTATCTCTAAAATAATGCAACCAGATCACTTTTTCATCGTTTTTTGGATTCCAACGTACGTTTTCCTCTGCATGATTCTGCCGTTTTTTGTGTCCTGTCCTGAAAAAAAAAAACACAAATAATATAATATAATAATATAATATGTTTTGAAGAATTAAAAAAAGGATAGAAAGCCCTAGAAGCCTGTAGATCGAAGGTGCTCTCGGGTTAAGGGGTTCATTGGTCATCAAAAACAAGGACCAAGGCAGAAGGCACTTCATAATATTTAGTTGTATTCCCCATCTCTGAAGAACCCACAGGCCCCTGCATATAGGTCCCCCAGCCTAGGCCCCAGCATCACCCAAAACGACTAAACATAGCAGGGTCTACCTGAGCCAAATGACACGTAGACCCTGTAGCTCTTGGAGAAATGTAGTGCACTATATAGGGAATAGGGTGCCATAATGAGATGGAACATAGACAAGTACCTTAGAACAGGTTACAGGATCGTGGTTCTCTGAAGGGGTTGGAGCCTGTCGGAACCCCCACCAGCAGGGCGTCTTTAGCTGCATTCTGCAGGCAGTACTGTTGGAGCTCGGCCGCTGCCTGAGACACCTGGGGGAACAACTAGTGTTTCAATGCTTAAAGGCCCTGTGCAGTCACAATTCTGTTTCTACTGTGTTTTGTATCATATGTGTACAACAGCTGATGAAACTAACACTGTAAAAGTGTGAAGAAGAAAAAATATGATCAGTGTTATTTCCTGATAGTTGCTGGTTTAAGATTATAGAAACATGCACAGGCTGACTTGGGCCCAGACCATAAATGGACACCAAATCATTGCTATAATTGTCATTTTTTTGACCTGCAGGCCCTTTTAATATCATAAAGCAATAATATCGTATAATTAATGAGACTGCAGACAATGAATTAATGAATTATATAATGCCATGGTGAATTCCTTTCTATTTAGGAAGTATCAAGGCCAAGTTTGGTTGACTACATTTTAAACGGAATTAACGACTTTTTTTTCACAGCATCAGTCACATCACAGTGGATCACACAAGAGCTGGCTGATACAGTAGACTAACTGGAATGCCATCACCCACACGTTTACAATCATCGTTTGAAATGCCATGAAATAAATACACCCCAAATCTATCCTATGCTAAATCTTCTGCCGTCTTTCTGTAAGATGTTGGTTTTGTTTACCTTAATCCGTTCCACGCTGGCTTCCAGTTTCAGTTGTTCTACAAGGCGACGCATGTTGGACACGTTGGAATTAGACGTCATGTTGATGCTTTATTCTTTTATGTCGTGTTTGTTTGTCAAATTGTTTGAGGTCTATTTGAAATATTGACGAGAAACGGCGCTTTCAGGACAGGTTAAAATAAAAAAATATTTCACTTCCCAAACTTTTGAAGCGGAAGCCACATCCTCAGATGGGGAGGACCATTGGCGTCATGCACCCCAGAAATCTGAGGGGGCACAGAGTACGTGAGGATGCAGAGGCGTCGTGCCCATTGGGGGCACAGGGGCACAAGCCCCCTCAGATTGGTTCCCTTTCTTTACTGCTAGCCACCTAGCAATTGTATGAAGTTGGCTAGCTAGCCCAGATAGGTTCCCAATCTCCCAACCGCATAACTAGCTACCAAGAAGCCATTTCAAGTTAGAGTAGCTAGCTTGTCTAACTATCTTAGCTGGCATGCCTGCTGGCAAGGTTCATAGACTTTAGAAAAGTAAGCAATATCTAAATGTACTGAATGAGACTCCATTCCTTTCAATCTTTTACCCCGATTTTAACAGAGAAGCATATATATATATATATATATAATTTATTTTAAAAACCCCCAGTCAGTAGGATACAGACTGTTTAATAAGTATGCTAAGATATGCAGAAAAAAATACATATTTTTTTGACATAATTAATCAATGATTATGGCTCTAGATTGCAGGAAAAAGCTGTTTCAGGTGTTTGAAAAATGCAAAATTCTTACAAATTCACCACACCCAGCCATCCTCGCAGGGGTGTCATGCACCCCAAAAATCTGAGGGGGGACAAAGAACATGAGGATGGCTCAGCTTTTTCCTGAAATCTAGAACCATAATCATTATGCTTAATTCTAGGTCAAAAATATGTATTTTTCTGCATATTAATTCTAGGTCAAAAATATGTATTTTTCTGCATATCTAAGCATACCTCTGGAGTTGTCTGTATCCTCCTGACTGCTGTTTATTTTTTATTTTTTTTAAAGAAAATGTATATGCTTCTCTGCTAAAATCGGGGTAAAAGATTGAAAGGAATGTGAGTCTTATTCAGTACATTTAGATATTGCTTATTTTTCTAAAGTCTACCAACCTTGCCAGCAGGCGTGCCAGCTAATATAGTTAGACAAGCTAGCTACTCTAAATTGATTTATAGCCTGAAATGGCTTCTTGGTAGCTAGTTATGCGGTTGGGAGATTGGGAACCTATCTGGGCTAGCTAAAGCCAACTTCATACAATTGCTAGGTGGCTAGCAGTATTACAGAAAAACAACAACAATATGTTTTGTTTTTTAAGGTTGACTTTGGGCAAAAACGCAAAAAAATAACATGAATGACAAATCGACGAACCACCAAAGGCATACCCCATTTTTGTTAGAAAATTGAGAAAGGGGTTGAGTTGGACCGTTTTTTTTTTTTTTTGTGCCCAGGGTCGAACTTTTACAGGTCAATTCTGAGGGGTCATTTTCCCCTGTGCCCCCTATGGTAATGACGCCTCTGAGGGAGGACCACTGATTTGCCCCCCATGCCTCCTATGGTAATGACGCCTCTGAGGGAGGACCACTGATTTGACCCCCATGCCCCCCATGGTAATGACGCCTCTGAGGGAGGACCACTGATTTGCCCCCCATGCCCCCCATGGTAATGACGCCTCTGAGGGAGGACCACTGAGGACCAAGTAAAGAGCTCAGCTGCTGCTGGATCTCAAGACCCCAAAAATAAAACCAGCCTCTCAGAGGCCCACAGCTGGCACTACATTTGCATTGGCATCTTTATGTCGTTTTTAATGACACGTTTTGCATCCGACAGGGTATACGTTAAAGAAAAAAATATCCAGACAGTTAAAATATATAATTTTTTAATATTTTAAGAGGGTTATGGGGTTATGAATACTTTGTATAATTTTGTGTACCGGTACTTTCAATTGTGATTTGAAAACAGCCTTCCCGAAGTAAGACAGTGCATACGAAGACTGTTCATGGACCAACGGAGACTAGAAGTAGGCCCAATCTGGGTCTGACGGGATGACGGTTCAGGCCAGAGACAGAAGAGCAGCTACAACGGACAGTACAACCTTGCGTAAACCTTGGGTTGTGTCCGGCCCTGGTTAAAAAGTAGTTCCCTATTTAGGGAATAAGAGTGCCATTTGGGCCGTTCCTTCCAGCAGGTTTCTGATACATCCTGTTTCACACCTTTAAACTTTTACAGGCAGAACGCTGAAAGACCATTTTATGAAAGGCAGCACATATATCAGCAGGGAAAATGTGCTGTAAAATGCACAAGCCCCCTCAGATTTAGACACGCTAGCTATTCTAAATTGATTTATAGCCTGAAATGGCTTCTTGGTAGCTAGTTATGCGGTTGGGAGATTGGGAACCTATCTGGGCTAGCTAAAGCCAACTTCATACAATTGCTAGGTGGCTAGCAGTATTACAGAAAAACAACAACAATATGTTTTGTTTTTTAAGGTTGACTTTGGGCAAAAACGCAAAAAAATAAAATGAATGACAAATCGACGAACCACCAAAGGCATACCCCATTTTTGTTAGAAAATTGAGAAAGGGGTTGAGTTGGACCGTTTTTTTTTTTTTTTTGTGCCCAGGGTCGAACTTTTACAGGTCAATTCTGAGGGGTCATTTTCCCCTGTGCCCCCTATGGTAATGACGCCTCTGAGGGAGGACCACTGATTTGCCCCCCATGCCTCCTATGGTAATGACGCCTCTGAGGGAGGACCACTGATTTGCCCCCCATGCCTCCTATGGTAATGACGCCTCTGAGGGAGGACCACTGATTTGCCCCCCATGCCCCCCATGGTAATGACGCCTCTGAGGGAGGACCACTGAGGACCAAGTAAAGAGCTCAGCTGCTGCTGGATCTCAAGACCCCAAAAATAAAACCAGCCTCTCAGAGGCCCACAGCTGGCACTACATTTGCATTGGCATCTTTATGTCGTTTTTAATGACACGTTTTGCATCCGACAGGGTATACGTTAAAGAAAAAAATATCCAGACAGTTAAAATATATAATTTTTTAAATATTTTAAGAGGGTTATGGGGTTATGAATACTTTGTATAATTTTGTGTACCGGTACTTTCAATTGTGATTTGAAAACAGCCTTCCCGAAGTAAGATGGTGCATACGAAGCCAACGGAGACTAGAAGTAGGCCCAATCTGGGTCTGACGGGATGACGGTTCAGGCCAGAGACAGAAGAGCAGCTACAACGGACAGTACAACCTTGCGTAAACCTTGGGTTGTGTCCGGCCCTGGTTAAAAAGTAGTTCCCTATATAGGGAATAAGAGTGCCATTTGGGCCGTTCCTTCCAGCAGGTTTCTGATACATCCTGTTTCACACCTTTAAACTTTTACAGGCAGAACGCTGAAAGACCATTTTATGAAAGGCAGCACATATATCAGCAGGGAAAATGTGCTGTAAAATGCACAAGCCCCCTCAGATTTAGACACGCTAGCTATTCTAAATTGATTTATAGCCTGAAATGGCTTATTGGTAGCTAGTTATGCGGTTGGGAGATTGGGAACCTATCTGGGCTAGCGAAAGCCAACTTCATACGATTGCTAGGTAGCTAGCAGTATTACAGAAAAACAACAACAATATGTTTGTTTTTTAAGGTTGACTTTGGGCAAAAACGCAAAAAAAAATAACATGATTGATAAATCGTCGAACCACCAAAGGCATACCCCATTTTTGTTAGAAAATTGAGAAAGGGGTTGAGTTGGACCGTTTTTTTTGTGTGCCCAAAGTCGAACTTTTACAGGTCAATTCTGAGGGGGCAATGTGCTAGCTGAAGCCAACTTCATCCAATCATATATCTTAAAGTTATTATGACACCGTTCACCTGAAATGTCTCCAATCAGAGAGGAAGAGTCGAACGAGAGGGTTATCTCTCGCCAAACTCTGTCCAGAATAAGCCCAATGCGTTTCTATGGGCTTAAGCAGACCAAAGATTGTTGCCTGCCAGGACAACGACTCCCGCTGTTAGGTCGGAGACACGAGCATCTCGTCATTATATACTGCCCCAATACAATATCTCTGAAAATAATTATCCATACAAACAGGCATTATTTTCAATCGTCTGTATACACATCATCAGTAGATTTATTCACAAATACACAGGTATGCAAACACAATGTGACTGTATAAACACAATGTGACTGTATAACAGTGTGACTGTATAAACACAGTGTGAATGTATAACTGGCACAAGTCAGGTGCAATATATGATATGCATGTTGTCAATCGTCAATAAAAGTGAGTCGTCCAGGTCCTTCATTCTTCATCCACCGTCGGTACCTCTTCCACCTGGGGTCCAGGGCCATCTTCATCTTCATCTCTTCCTCCTGCTCCTCCTTGTACACCTGTATAACAACATAACGCAATACAAACAGAAATAGTACAAACTCATTCAGAAATCATTTGGGGTTTTAAATCTGGACCCATTTCCCATCAGTGTCAGTCTGTTTCTGCTCTCTTGCCAAACATGGCGTGACAATGAGTGACAAGGAGTTGGCAAAACATCTATTTGTTGTAATAACATTGTAATACATGGTGCAATGCTTCACACTGTTCCTGTTACTATTACTACTACAACTATACTCCTACTACAACTATACTACATCTATTACTACTGCTACTACAACTATACTACTACTACAACTATACTACATCTATTACTACTGCTACTACAACTATACTACTACGACAACTATACTACAACTATACTACTACTACAACTATACTAATCTATTACTACTGCTACTACAACTATACTACTACTACAACTATACTACAACTACAACTATACTATATCTATTACTACTGCTACTACAACTATACTACTACTACTACAACTATACTACATCTATTACTACTGCTGCTACAACTATATTACTACTACAACTATACTACTACTACAACTATATTACTACTACAACTATTACTACTGCTACAACAACTATACTACTACTACACTTATACTACAACTATACTACAACTACACCTATACTACTACTACAACTATACTAAACTATTACTACTGTTACTACAACTATACTACTACTACAACTATACTACTACTACAACTATTACAACTATACTACTACTACAGCTATACTACTACTACAACTATACTACAACTATTACTACTGCTGCTACAACTATACTACTACTACTACACATATACTACAACTACTACTACTACTACTACAACTATACTACAACTATTACTACAACAACTATACTACTACTATTACAACTATTACTACTACTTCTGCCGCCGCCACCACTACTACTACTACTGCTACATTCGTTACTCCAGACCTCATAGTTGTCTTTGATCCAGAGCTGCCTCTCCAGGAAGGTCTCTCTCTGCTCCTCCTCCAGACCGTCAAACTGAGACTGAGACATGTTCATATTCTTCCTGATGATGTACAGCTTCTCCTCGTCTCCGTACTCCTCTCTGCAGATGGTGAACCTGTACATCCACTTACAGTACCAGACCACGTAGGCACACAGGCAGTAGGGGAACAGGACAATCTTACAGAGCAGGATGTCCAAGATTTTAGGCTTCTGGTAGCCTCCCTTGATGTCGATCTTGTTCTTGATGATGTCACGGATGATCTCTTCTTCCTGTTCCCTGATCTCCTCTTTGGACCGTCGGTTCTTACCCTTCTCTTTTGTCTTGTTCAGGAGACCCAGCTGCTTGGCTATCTCTGTCGCCTGGATACGGTACTTGGGGACTGTTGATAGGTAGTTGATGGCTTCAGTGTAGCTGGCCCACCAACTGTAGTACTGAAGGAAGAAAAACAGTAATAAATCAGAACTGTTAAGATGTTTCCCAAATTGGCACCCTATTCCCTATACAGTGCACTGCTTTTGACCAGAGCCCTGTCGGATTTGAAATATGTTGCCACGTGGGACTCTTGGCTTAAACGTGTAAAAACAGTTTTGCGTTGAAATAAATATTGCATTTAAGCCAAGAGACATTCAGAGCGTGTGAAGATACGACTGTACCTGAAAGATTGATATAGCAACCACGGTCACCAGAATGACAATCCGCACGTCGACTTTAGGTGCCAGCCGTCTGCTGTAGTAGGTGTAGTAGTGGCTGTAGTACTGTTCCGGGTGGTCCAGCATGTAGTCGTAATCTCTACGGGAGTCCTCATCCTGATACGCAGGAGGAAAATGGGTCTTATTTTAATCTTCCTACATCAAACTATTCCGACTACTTGGATAACAGGCCTAGTAACAAGTACAAGTTACGAGAAGATAACCCCTTTATCAGAATGGTTTAGAGCCGTGTGCATAGTATGTATCAAGCGTCTCAGAGTAGAAGCTCTTACTTAGGATCAGTTTCGCCTTTTGGATTACAGCAAACAAGCAGGATAATGGCCATGGGGGGGGGCCTGATCCTAGAAGAGCACCCCTACTCCGAGAAGCAGGACGGACATACCTGCTCTACCCTTTCTCTGGCTACTACTCCTGTAGCTATGTGAAAAGGGACTATTACTGATGACTTTCCTGCGAGCCTCTTCGGGTCTATTGAGTAAATGGTAATTGACAGTATTGGTCCACTATAAGCCAAGACAAAACGATCAATTTGACTGAGGGCCTTTGATTCAGGAGTTGAGAAAAGTGCCACATTGGCATACAGCATAAGTTGACGTCAGCAAGAGCCGGCAAAACTAGCTTGGCCAGAGAGCTGAAGCAACGGAGGGCTATGGTACGAATCATCTGTGAGGTTTCCTCCACTTACCTTCAGAGTTTCATATGCAGTTGCAATGAGCAGAAATTTTTGATGAGCACTTTCACGAGTCTCGCCTGCAAGACTTGAGAATCTATCCGGGTGATACTTTCTGGCTAGCTGTCTGTAAGCACGACCTATGTCCGATTTGGCCGCTTCTCTCGACACTCCGAGTACATCGTAACAAATCTCGGTGCCACAATAAAGTCCCTCGATGAGCGCCGTGGCAGAGGGTATGAAACCCCCCAAAAATAACAAAATGCCTATCCATTGACCAAAGTGTCTCCCATTCTCCGTGGGGGCAGCCATTTCACTGTCGTCACTAGTTCTTCTTCGTGTGGCTTTTTCCGGCGGACTAGACGCTATGTTGCGTATTGCTGCCTTTCACAGTCCGGAACGTACATTGCAAATTTGTTCACAAAAAAAAGGAAATGGGGGTGAGGGGGAGAAATTGCACCGCCATCTAAACTAGTGTGACTACATGTCCAGGATTGTGGTCCCGCAACCAATCAATCATGTCCCGCATTTTATTAACAAATTCAAACACCACAAAATAAAAAAATAAAAGTCGTATTTCAGTCAGACATTCCGACCTGTCTCTTGCAGTCACGTTGCGCCCTTGAAAATATATATATATCATAAGGATGTGATAGCCTAAACCTACTTTTGATGTTAAACACTTCTCCAATCATTGTTGAGATCTGGGAGGGAGAGGGTAGTGGGGCACAGTGTGTAGCTACTATGGGATGTTGAGTGGAAGTTTATGTTATATGGAATGACTAACTAGTGTAATCCAGGAGACGGAACGGAAGGGAACAGCGAAGATTTTTATAACTACACCAAGATAGACCACAGCCTGTCGTTTCAATCGGGAACAAATGAGCCACAGTTGGCAGAACAAGCAAGGAGGTGGGCAGAGCCAAGCAAGAGCTAGCGAGATCCTATTGGCGTGTTGTAGCTAACATTTGCATATTTCAGTTGGGGAACGCCTACTTTGTGAAGTGCGAGTTTGCGATAACTCAATTCACTTTTGCACTCCTAAACAACGAAAAAAAAAAAAAAAGGGTAAAGTCTACTAAGCATAGTCCACTCTGTTCGTAACAGATTGTAGTTTTGGGAACAGAAAACTGTATTGAGATCAAATGTTTCATCGATGAGTAAATTAACAGAATGTTGGCCAAAATCCATCTAGTTCCACCTTCTCCCACTGCCGGCCTCACGTTTATTTATAAAATATCTGTCTCGTTGTTCTATCTGTGGTAAGAGGTCTGATGTTGTGATCACCTGCTGCTAAAATTGCTTAATTGTTTGGGTTGGTTGGTTAAGCATTGTAATTCGTTGGTATTGCTAGATAGCTAGCCAATGAGCTAACTGTAACTACCTATGCGCTAACAGAAGCTAGTTAAACTAACTAGTTAGTTAGATAGATTACATTCAATTCAGCTCCATTGTGGCTAGGTAGCTAGCACTCTCTCTCACTAACATTAGCTAGCTAGCCAAGCTAAACTCAAGTCGATCGTAAATCTAGCTAGCTAGCTGTTTTAGATGCTGACCAGACGGGCCACTTAGCTTTTCTTGCCAACCTAGGTAGCTAGCTAGCTATATAGCAAACAAAAAGGGCTAATGTTAACCCACTGAATGATGTTTCATAAGCTTGTTATGTTGAAGCCATCCGAGTGTGTGTGTGAGAGAGAGAGAGAAAGAATGAATCTGGTGAATAACTTAGCCTCACATGGAATCTGATTATCACAATCGTGTAATTTATGCATGGCAAAACATGAGGTCATGACACATTCTTAGGTATAGCTGAGCTAAGTTATCAGTTGTCTGTCTTTGTCTTGTATCTTTATAGTGGCAGATACACTACACGACCAAACATATGTGGACAACTGCTCGTCGAACATCTCATTCCAAAATCATGGGCATTAATATGGAGTTGGTCTCCCCTTTGCTGCTATAACAGCCTCCACTGTTCTGGGAAGGCTTTCCACTAGATGTTGGAACATTTCTGCGGGAACTTGCTTCCATTCAGCCACAAGAGCATTAGTGGGGTTGGGCACTGATGTTGGGCAATTAGGCCTGGCTCGCAGTCGGCGTTCCAATTCATCTCAAAGGTGTTATATGGCTCTATGTAGAACCCTTCTTGCCTTCCAAAGAACCCTTCTTGCCTTCCAAAGAATCATTCTTGCCTTCCAAAGAACCCTTCTTGCCTTCCAAAGAATCCTTCTTGCCTTCCAAATAACCCTTCTTGCCTTCCAAAGAATCCTTCTTGCCTTCCAAAGAACCCTTCTTGCCTTCCAAAGAATCCTTCTTGCCTTCCAAAGAATCCTTCTTGCCTTCCAAAGAACCCTTCTTGCCTTCCAAAGAACCCTTCTTGCCTTCCAAAGAACCCTTCTTGTCTTCCAAAGAACGCTTCTTGCCTTCCAAAGAATCCTTCTCGCCTTCCAAAGAATCATCAAAGAACCCTTTCTTCCAGAAATGGTTCTTAGGATGTTAAAAGTTCTAGGTAGAACCCTTTGCCTTACAAATAACCTTTTTCTTCCAAAAAGGGTTCTTTAGATCAAACCGGTTCTTGGTAGAATCCTATCCCTCCACATAGAACCCTTTTGGAACCCTTTTTTCTAAGAGTGCAGAGAATCGACATTTGGCTAGCTTGATCTCAGATCTGTGTATGCTGTTTTGCCAATTCCTACAGTATGATTGTTGCCATGCCAGGTTACCCTAGGAGTTGGCTATACATAGGAGTTGGCTATCTGGCACAAATAGATCAAAGACCACTCTTACATTTGGCTGATTGTCAGAACAGAAAAAGTGTAACTTCGATGCACTGGATGACAACTCTAGAAATTGTTGGCTTCGTTCCAGGAAAAATAGGAGGTGGTTTGTTTGTGTAGCACCTGAATGCGAGGGCAAGCGGTTATGCATCGTAAGGGACCAAAATTGTTTTAGGTTGTGGCACTCCAGTGAGTGTGAATCATTGCAGAAATAGGAACTAGTAAAGGTAGCTAGCTGTCAATGATGTCTACACTGGTGCCCCGTCTAGGGAATAGGGTGCTATTTGGAAAGCAGACTTGGCATTGAAAAGCATCCCTAGCATTGAAAAGCATCCCTAGCATTGAAAAGCAGCGCTAGCATTGAAAAGCAGCGCTAGCATTGAAAAGCATCCCTGGCATTGAAAAGCATCGCTAGCACTAGAGGTATGGCATACACTGAGTTGACAGAGGAGCTGTGAGTTGACAGGTCGTGTGAGAGGTCTGGCTGTCAAACAGAGATCCTGAGGAAGGAATTCCACCAGCAGATGGCTCAGTATGTCCCAACACGTAATTCAAATATTAAAGATTATATATATATATATATATATATATATATATATATATATACAGTGGGGAGAACAAGTATTTGATACACTGCCAATTATGCAGGTTTTCCTACTTACAAAGCATGTAGAGGTCTGTAATTTTTATCATAGGTACACTTCAACTGTGAGAGACGGAATCTAAAACAAAAATCCAGAAAATCACATTGTATGATTTAAGTAATTAATTTGCATTTTATTGCATGACATAAATATTTGATACATCAGAAAAGCAGAACTTAATATTTGGTACAGAAAACTTTGTTTGCAATTACAGAGATCATACGTTTCCTGTAGGTCTTGACCAGGTTTGCACATACTGCAGCAGGGATTTTGGCCCAGTCCTCCATACAGACCTTCTCCAGATCCTTCAGGTTTCGGGGCTGTCGCTGGGCAATACAGACTTTCAGCTCCCTCCAAAGATTTTCTATTGGGTTCAGGTCTGGAGACTGGCTAGGCCACTCCAGGACCTTGAGATGCTTCTTACGGAGCCACTCCTTAGTTGCCCTGGCTGTGTGTTTCGGGTCATTGTCATGCTGGAAGACCCAGCCACGACCCATCTTCAATGCACTTACTGAGGAGGTTGTTGGCCAAGGAGGTTGTTGGCCAAGATCTCGCGATACATGGCCCCATCCATCCTCCCCTCAATACGGTGCAGTCGTCCTGTCCCCTTTGCAGAAAAGCATCCCCAAAGAATGATAGTTCCACCTCCATGCTTCAAGGTTGGGATGGTGTTCTTGGGGTTGTACTCATCCTTCTTCTTCCTCCAAACACTGCGAGTGGAGTTTAGACCAAAAAGCTATATTTTTGTCTCATCAGACCACATGACCTTCTCCCATTTCTCCTCTGGATCATCCAGATGGTCATTGGCAAACTTCAGACGGGCCTGGACATGCGCTGGCTTGAGCAGGGGGACCTTGCGTGCGCTGCAGGATTTTAATCCATGATGGCGTAGTGTGTTACTAATGGTTTTCTTTGAGACTGTGGTCCCAGCTCTCTTCAGGTCATTGACCAGATCCTGCCGTGTAGTTCTGAGCTGATCCCTCACCTTCCTCATGATCATTGATGCCCCACGAGGTGAGATCTTGCATGGAGCCCCAGACCGAGGGTGATTGACCGTCAGCTTGAACTTCTTCCATTTTCTAATAATTGCGCCAACAGTTGTTGCCTTCTCACCAAGCTGCTTGCCTATTGTCCTGTAGCCCATCCCAGCCCTGTGCAGGTCTACAATTTTATCCCTGATGTCCTTACACAGCTCTCTGGTCTTGGCCATTGCGGAGAGGTTGGAGTCTGTTTGATTGAGTGTGTGGACAGGTGTCTTTTATACAGATAACGAGTTCAAACAGGTGCAGTTAATACAGGTAATGAGTGGAGAACAGGAGGGCTTCTTAAAGAAAAACTAACAGGTCTGTGAGAGCCGGAATTCTTACTGGTTGGTAGGTGATCAAATACTTATGTCATGCAATAAAATGCAAATTAATTACTTAAAAATCATACAATGTGATTTTCTGGATTTTTTCCGCCTCTCACAGTTGAAGTGTATCTATGATAAACATTACAGACCTCTACATGCTTTGTAAGTAGGAAAACCTGCAAAATCGGCAGTATATCAAATACTTGTTCTCCCCACTGTATACAGTGGGGGAAAAAAGTATTTAGTCAGCCACCAATTGTGCAAGTTCTCCCACTTAAAAATATGAGAGAGGCCTGTAATTTTCATCATAGGTACACGTCAACTATGACAGACAAAATGAGAAAGAAAAATCCAGAAAATCACATTGTAGGATTTTTTATGAATTTATTTGCAAATTATGGTGGAAAATAAGTATTTGGTCAATAACAAAAGTTTCTCAATACTTTGTTATATACCCTTTGTTGGCAATGACACAGGTCAAACGTTTTCTGTAAGTCTTCACAAGGTTTTCACACACTGTTGCTGGTATTTTGGCCCCTTCCTCCATGCAGATCTCCTCTAGAGCAAT